TATAGATCTTAGATCATCTTACATTAGATGTACAGGGGAGGGTAAAAAGGCAATATTAGGTTATCGGTGGATGGCGTGACAGAAAGAGGAGGATTGGTATAGTAACATGTTTTTTATATATATTTTTTTACAACGAGGCATAGTACGTAGTAGTTCGTAGTAGTATGTAGTAGTGACGTAGTAATACGTAGTAGTATGTAGTTGCACGTAGTAGTATGTAGTAGTATGTAGTTGCACGTAGTAGTACGTAGTAGTACGTAGTAGTATGTAGTTGTATGTAGTAGTATGTAGTTGTATGTAGTTGCACGTAGTAGTACGTAGTAGTGACGTAGTAGTATGTAGTAGTGACGTAGTAATACGTAGTAGTATGTAGTTGCACGTAGTAGTACGTAGTAGTATGTAGTAGTATGTAGTTGCACGTAGTAGTACGTAGTAGTACGTAGTTGTATGTAGTAGTATGTAGTTGTATGTAGTTGCACGTAGTAGTGACTACGTAGTAGTGACGTAGTAGTGACGTAATGTTAATGATCGAGTAAAATACATGGATGGAAGGATTGGCGGCTTACTCGTCATTGATGACCGCAGCGTCGTCATCAACAAACACCTCTAGCTGCGTGCACAGCTCGTTAATGTCAAACGGGTCATCTTCCTCAGCCTCCTCATTTTCCTTCTCATCTTGTAACTTCTCCTCCTCTTCCTCATCATTATCCTGGATGTTCTCCTCTTCCTCCTCCTCTTCATCGTCAGCTATTTCCTCCTCCTCCTCTTCTTCTATCTTCACTTCCTCCTCATCGTCCTCGTCTTCCGAGTCGCTATTTTCCTCCTCTGAAAGATAGAACTTCTCAATTTTCGGACGTAATTTTTTCAACGACCGGCTTTAAACTTTTTATAATGACGCAAATTTTCACAAACACAAAACACATAAAAAGAATTATGTTTTTCCTGTCGATGACGACAACAAATCAATCGATAGAGACATCAACAGATTAATTAATAGCAGTGATCAAACTAATGTAATAACTAAAATAAATGATAACAACGAGAGCTGAGCATATTAATCAGCAGCAACATACGTGAACGGAAATCCCCGAAAAAAAAACACCCCAACGAAAATTTCCCGAATTACCAAAATAAAAGAGGTAATAACAGCTTCACTAGCAACGACGTCAACAGATAAACCGATATTTAACAAAGGGCTAGGTATTATTAGCTCTTGATATGACACCTATCAGAGAATAAACGATAACGCAGCCAACGCAACGTAACTTAACAACAAACAAACAAACGTGTGACGCACAAGACATTTGCCAACGACAGTGCAAATCCTGAAAAAAAAACCAACAAAAAATTCCTGAATCACCCCAAAATAAAACAGGATATAACAGATTCACTAGTAACAGATGTCAACAGAACAAACCAATATGTCACCAATCGGGGAATAAACGATAACGCAGCCAACACACTGCAACTAATCAACAACATGCGAACAAACGTGGTAAAGTTACAAGATTCTCACACGCAGTGAACAGAGGTCTGGCCAACTACTACTACTACTACTACAACTACTCAGCGTAAGTCAACGTTACGAGACAAAGTCCACGTTAAGACTAATGCTAATACAAAATAATATATATATATATATATAAATAATATATATAATAATATAATATAATATAAGAGCAATTCTCTCATTGACGACGGAACCCAACCGGCTGTGGCCGCCGCATCGCGCCCGCGCTTACCCTGGTTGCCGTGGACGACACCGTGCTTGCTCACCTGGTTGCCGTGGCGACGGCGGCGACGCATACGCGCTCATGCGGAAGCCGGCCTCGACGAGCTCGTTACGACGCAGGATGCCGGCGGTGAGGCGGGACGTGTCGCCGCCCGCGCGCAGCGAGAACAGATTCTCGATGCCGAACAGCTCCCCCTGGCGGCCGCGGTCGCCGCGCACGGCCGAGAAGTAGCGGCGCGCGTTGCCGTCGGCGACGGCGACGTTGTCGAGTTGCTGCGGCAACGAGAGAGAGGATGAGATGAGGCAACGCGCGAGTGAAGAGTCGTGCGGTCATGACAGTGCTGGTAGTGATGATTCTAAGGTTTTGTAGCACGCTGCAGTCTGCAGGTAGATGACAGCACCCTGTTTGTAACAGCTGTCTCAGGTGAGATGACGCACCCTGTTTTGTACAAGCCTGTGCTCAGGTAGATGAACACCTGTTTGTAGGGCACCGCTGTCTCTCATGTAGAATGACGCACAACTGTTTGTAGGCAGAGCTGTCTGCAGGTAGATGAACGCAGCGCTGTTTGTAGCAGCTGTGCTCAGGTAGATGACACACCTGTTTGTAACAGCTGTCTCCAAGGTTAGATGACACAACCTGTTTGTACAGCTGTCTCAGGTAGAATGACACACCTGTTTGTAGCTGTCTCAAGGTAGTGTCACACCTTGGTTGTGTTACAGCGTTGTCCTCAGGTAGATGACGACAGCCTGTTTGTAGTCAGCTGTCTCAGTGGGTAAGATGGACACGACCTGTTTGACACCGTGTCCTCAGGTAAGGCCAATGCAGGTAGATGACACACCTGTTTGTACAGCTGTCCTCAGGTATCAATCAGGTAGATGTCACACCTGTTTGTAACGCTGTCTCAGGTAGAATGACACACCTGTTTTGTAGCAGCTGTCTCAGCGTAGATGACGGCACCTGTTTGTAGCAGCTGTCTCAGGTAGATGACTACACATCCTGTTTGTACAGCTGTTCTCAGGTTAGCAATCAGGTAGAGTGTCACACCGTGGTTCTGTCGACGTCTTCTCAGTAAGATGACAGACACCTGTTTGTAGCAGCTGTCTCAGTAGATGACCGCACAAGACGAACTGACGGGACGCTCGGGGAGTGGGACGTGTGTTGCGACTGTTTGTTACAGCTGTCTCAGGTAGATGGAGGAGCGCGACGCCTGTTTGTACAGCTGTCTCAGGTAGGCCAATCAGGTAGATGACACACCTGTTTTGTAGCACCGCGCTGGTCTCAGATTAGATGAACAACACACTGTTTTGTACACGCTGTTCTCAGGTAGATAAACACCCCTGTTTGTACACGTCCTGTCTCAGGTAGCAATCGGTAGATGGTACTCACAGGGTACTGTTTGTACACGGGCTGTCCTCAGGGTAGCATCAGGTAGTATGACAGCACCCATGTTTGTACAGGCTGTCTCAGGTAGATGACGCACTCGTGGGTTTGTACACCTGTCCTGCAGGTGAGGCAATCCAAGGTAGATGACGGCACAGCTGTTTTGTAATCCTGTCTCAAGGTACGAATGCAGGTAGATGACGCAACCTGTTTGTACACCTGTCTCAGTGTCACGATGACGCACCTGGTATTGTACACAGCTGTCTGCAAAAGGTAGATGATCTCCTCGACACGCTGCCGGCGGCGATGAAGCGGTACAGCTCCGCGCACGTCGGCGTCGCTGAGCCGATGCGATACGCGGCGAATCCCTGCGCACTGAAGTTTCGTGCGCCGGGTTCGCAGTTCGGGATCGAAGATAACAACCCGCAGCGTTGGCGGGGCCGTGGATGTGTGAGGCCGGGCCGCCGGCTCTGGCGACGAAAAGACACATGGAACGCTTTGTTTTTCTTTGTGCGCAGCGTCCTTTGTAGTTTTTTTTGTCATTTTTTTTGGGGAGGGGGGGATTTGCGCTGTTTTTTGCTGATTTAATTTTTATTTTCTATATTTTTTAGCATGAATAAATTTCTAATGGGTTTTACGCATAAAATGATTTGTTATACTTAATTTTTTAAAAATATTTAGTAATTTAAAATCAGCAATATATATATATATATATATATGTATATATATACATATATAAGAATGTTACATAAAACAGTCTTACAATAAATAAATACTAACCACGAAAACGAAAATATTTATCAGCAAATACTTCACGTTTATAAAACAACACATTCGCGTTTCGATCTGCCACTTGCGCGTCACAAACATCATACTAACGGATTGAATGTTAGTCGCGGGTGAATGAAATTTTGTGATAACGACTCGAGGGTGTGAATGACAATAAAATAGTTTAAGAAGCACCGATTCAGAAGATAATCTGCCGCGTGCACTAATCTGCACTAATCTGCACTAATCTGCACTAATCTATCTAATTTGTCCGATAATCCGCAGCATCCGCCGGCGGCGACTTACTTCGTCGACACGAGGAAGATGAAGAGATGCGGGTCGCTGTTGAACTCCCGCACGTACGCTTGTCGTGCGCTCGGCTTCGTGCTTCCATCCAGCCGCCGGTAGTGCTGGCCTGTCCCTATCACATACTGCTCCAATATATCCAGCAACTGTGTGAAGAGAGAGAGAAATATATATATATATATCAGCCTATATATATATACCTTATTATCTACTTCTGATATATATATAGAGAGAGAGAGGGAGAGAGA